TGATACTGTGTGAATGAATGTAATGGTGCGTGTGTATTACTTGAAGAGTGTGAGTGATACAACGTTTTCTTTCTGTTTACATAGCACAGGGTCACGAGTACGAATATACACAGCTTCCAACACCTGCAATTGCTTGAAGAAACGTGCGCAACGAATAACACTAAACCAGGAATTACATTCATTCACACAGTATCACATTCATCTGCTACTACCTTTCTCACATACACTATATTCACACATTGCAAAGGTGCAAACTTCGCTTTTTGTACTTGTTAGCTGCTGTATTTCTACCTGAAACCATATTATCACATGGCACGTGATTGTTGCCCGTACTCCAGCGAATCAGCACCTTTCGCGCCGCGGGCAATAATATGCGATATTGCCCGCAAAAAAATAGTTTATTTGCCCGCAAAAAAATAGTTTATTTCAGTGATCGCGTGACTACGACGACTCTGTAGACTGTACGACTCTACGACGAGTCGCAGTGTAGCATTGAGACGAAGATGGAATTCTTTTTGGAGATGGACATCCCGGCAATGGACATGGCCTCGGACGTCTGCCGTGTGGTGCTTGCAGGGATCATTTGTTCAGTCAGACTCATGTTGGCAGCCTGACCGTCGGTAAGCTTGTGGATAAGATTCAGTTCTGCTCGAAGTGGTACTGTGATCACAAACAATTATTTGAAATAACACAAATTCAACTCAGCGTCGTGCGTTTTCAAATCCTCGCAAAGTCACTGCCTGTTGACTACAAAACAAGTTGTTTCACACGACGTACGTTTCGCCGTATGGTTCGTGACGGCTCATCAGGTGTGCAATTTGAAACTCGGATATTGAGCCAATAATAAATGTAGAAAGGAAAAGGACATATGGAAACGAGTTAAGAGTAACTCTCCACCACTGTAACTAGATACTATATACAGTCAGAAAGTGCAACAACTAGGCACAAAACTGACAGAGTACTGAGACATTCGACGTCCTGACACCTAGCTTCAACACATCTCCGTGGCACTTTCTGCACTTTCTGACTGTATATAGTATCTAGTTACAGTGGTGGAGAGTTACTCTTAAATCGTTTCCATATGTCCTTTTCCTTTCTACAAATAATAATAATAATAATAATAATAATAATAATAATAATAATAATAATAATAATAATAATAATAATAATAATAATGCAGACGACGTTACTTCAGTAACGTCTGGCGCTAGCCAGGGTCCACACAGCTTTAATTCCCGTATCTATGCAGAAGACGTTACATCAGTAACGTCTGGCGCTAGCCAGGGTCCACACAGCTTTAATTTGGTATTTGTGTGTTTGTTTCTGTGTTTGTGTCACGCCTGGCGCTATCCCGTATCTGTCCCGTACCGTACCGTACCGTCAAACACTGCTGGCCACATATAGCTGGCCGCAATATGCAAATAGGGCTTTCAAACGCAAGATCATAACGTGAAGCAACTTGGAAGAATGGGTATGAATGCGAAGTGTATGGCGGAATGCATGTAGGGCGATAGTGCGGGTTCGAATCCCAGGATATGGCTTAAAAAAAAAAATAGGAGAATTGAAAAATGTATAACATCCCTTTTTTTGACGTCATCAAGGCGGTAGACGGTGTCGTAGTACCCTTGATCGTACCTGTCCCGTACCGTACCGTACCATCAAAGACGGCTGGCCACAATGCATATTGAAATAGGGCTTTCAAATGGAAGATCATACCGTGAAGCAACTTGGAAGAATTAGCATGTATGCGAAGTGTTTTGTAGGATGCATGCAGGGTGCGCGATAGTGCGGGTTCGAGTCCCAGGTTATGTCTTAAAAAAGGGATTTTTTTAATTTTTTAAAGAATTTATAACATCCCTATGCTTTTTTTGTCTAGGTCATCAAGGCAAAAGAGCATAGAGTAGGGCCCTGAGCTTCCAAGCTCTCTCGTTTGGTATTTGTGTGTTTGTTTGTTTGTGTCACGCCTGGCGCTATCCCGTATCTGTCCCGTACCGTACCGTACCATCAAACACAGCTGGCCACATGGAGCTGGCCGCAATATTCAAATAGGGCTTTCAAACGCAAGATCATAATGTGAAGTAACTTGGAAGAATGGGTATGAATGCGAAGTGTATGGGGGAATGCATGTAGAGCGATAGTGCGGGTTCGAATCCCAGGGTATGCCTGAAAAAAAAATAGGAGAATTGAAAAAATTATAACATCCCTATGCTTTTTTTGCCGTCATCAAGGCGGTAGACGGTGTCGTATTACCCTCGATCGTACCTGTCCTGTACCTATCCCGTACCGTACCATCAAAGACGGCTGGCCACAATGCATATTGAAATAGGGCTTTTAAATGCAAGATCATAACGTGAAGCAACTTGGAAGAATTAGTATGTATGCGAAGTGTATCGGGGATGCATGCAGGTCGCGCGAGAGTGCGGGTTCGAATCCCAGCTTATGTCTTAAAAAAAGGGAATTTTTTAAAGAATTTGTAACATCCATATGCTTTTTTTTGTCTATGTCATTAAGGCAAAAAAGCATCGCATAGGGCCCTGAGCTTCCAAGCTCTCTCGTTTATTTACTGTTTGCACTTCATGGCACATAATAAAAATAGCCAATAAAAAGGAAGTAAGGGTGAAACCAACCACGGACCGAAAGCAAAAATGCAAAATAAAGAGAGAAAAAGCGAAAAAGAGAATAATGAAGAAGAAAACAGAAAGCATGAACAGGCCAACAAATTTTCATTTCTAGATGTGCTTGTGGAAAAAACGAGTAGTGAAATTCTGACAACCGTTTATCGAAAGCCGACGTTTACTGGTCAGTACATTGTATATGACTCTTATTGTTCGTGACAATATAAAGTAAACTTTGTTCGTAACCTTGTAGACCGTGCCAAGCGTATTTGTTCGTCCTGCAAGCTGCAGGAGGAGCTTGATTTTCTCCGGTCAGTTTTTGTGAAGAACGGATACCCTGAGTTTTGTTGCAGAAGTTGTTGAAAGTCGAACTAACTACGAAGGCTCCTATGATTGGTCCTGCTCGTTGTACCCGTTTTTTTATGTTTGCCGTGGAAAGGGCAGGAGTCGACTAAAGTTTGTAGTGCAGTCAAGTCTGTTGTTCGTCGAACATACTACGCAGTACACGTCGTGCCAGTCTTTACGACGATGCGTGCGTCTACGGTGCAGAAAAATGTCCTACCAGCCCATCACCTAAGTCATCTTATTTACAACTTTGAATGCTGACAATGCGCTAGTCGGTATGTTGGTAGGACTGTTCAGCACCTGAACGCACGCATCAAACAACACACACCACGTCACATACTTCCACCTTGCGCACACCAAGAAAGACCGAAACGAGGGCGACCTAGAAAACAACCACTAACCACACAGCCGTTACCTACACAACCCGCGGATCCTAGCTCACAGACTGTGCTTGTTCCGCCGTCGCTGGTGGCGGTGGTGGAGGGGAATGGGCGTGGTGGCTCATCGGGTCGGCTTCTGTCGCCGCCTTTGCTCCTGCCGTCGGTGGTTCCTTCATCAGTGCCCCCGGCGGCTTTGGCTGAGGCGGTGCCACTTGCGATCCCGGTCCCACTGCCTCCTCCTGATCCTCCGCCATCGGTTCTTGCGGCGGTTGAGCTTGCCAGCGGCAGACCGCGAGCAACACTGACAGCGGCATTAACACTACAAATGCCGACTCAAAAAGATCCACCTTGCATATCAGCAGCTCCCGCACCAACACCAACAGCGCAATCTACAGCAACCTCAACTAATCCACCATCCAACCCCACAATTGAACGACCAAGACGATCAACAGCCAACTACAACAGAAGCTACGCACTCAACAGACAAGGGCGAAAGGAGGGACGTGACAGCAGGGTGACGCCGAGTTAAATGGATAGTTCAATGGACCCGGTCAGGCGGGATGGATGAGACAGAGAGAGTGCAGAGAATGCTTAGGATGGAACGGACGGCGAAGGGAGCAGTGAGTCGGAGAGTAATGATGGGAGTGATGGTGAGAGTGCCGGTGAGAGTGTTGGTGTTGTGGGTAGGTTTTGTGGTAGCAAGTCTTCAGTGTGCAATCATCTGCTAGCTAGTCCTGATTGTTGCAATTCGTATTCCGACTCTTCGTTCACTGTATCGTGCCCTGGTCTCCTCGCCGTTTGTTTAAAAAAGGAAAGAGCGTTACTTACATAGAAAGATGCTAGGGAAGGCACATATTTAACCCTTTGAGGTGTATTTATCGGAGACCCGTGAGAAGTTCCGGTCACACACTGCGCAATGCACAGATTTGGGCATGGTGGAGCTCGACTGAGGGGCAACCCGTACTTCCCTCCACTGTTGGCGGTCCTGAGCAAGGATGAGCCACTGAGATGGCTGTTGCAGTGCAAACTTGAGGTCGGTCATCACCGTGTCTTTCCACCGTTTCCGGGGACCACAAAAGGCCGAGGCACAGGTAGCCACCCAAAGAGGAGTTGGAGGGGGTGCGATCCTCATCCATACGCGCAACGTGCCCAGTCCATTCCAGACGCCGATTGCGGAGGCGTGTAGACATCAGTACTGGGTCTCCCCAACGGTTCCGCCACACACACACACACACACACACACACACACACACACACACACACAACGGTTCTGTCCTTTGTTGCTTCATCAATACAGCACTGGGGAATGGGGCTCAGCCTGATAGCAATGAAAAGTGCAAAGCTGAAGAATTGACCAATACTACTCAGCCTGGTTTACAGCGCACAGCTTTTTGAAGTGTTTTGTTTTCCTGGGCAGTGAATTCCTACACCGTTTCTTGATATGTGTTCCTTGTTAAGACAATACGTAATCAAACACCGTGCACATAGCACGGTATGTTATGAAGACCACATGGAAAACATATTCAACATTCATTAATATTTTTTCTCCCGTTATGTGAACAGATTGCATGATGAATACTGATTGGCCAACAAGCTAGTATGATTTTCACCCGGTCAGGATTGTTAACTTATCAATATGGTCTCTACTGTGTATCTACAGGTTGCAACACAAAATCACTATAGGTTTATTCGTAATACCTCTACATCATTTGGTAGCGAGGGTAATGGCAGGGTGCAGTTCAGTAATCCACGTGGTATCACAATCAGCAGCGATGGAAAGGTCTTTATTGCTGATGCGAGCAATCATCGGGTGAAGGTTAGTTTATAGAAACCAGCACCCAGATCTATCTCATTACACAATTGTCATCATCTTCTTGATGTATAGGAAGACATGTAAACTGCATCTGCAGTATTACTCTACAGGAAGTCATTGGTCTGGTAGATAGTTTCTCCTGTCCTAAAAGCCATCATACCATAGGAAGGTGTGAAACAATCTCTTGGATCCCCGTATTCTATTTGCATATCGGAGCTTTGGGATTCGATATAACAGTGTATACCAACCCGAAATCGGGGTTTTACTTTGCTGGAAAAAAATTCGTAAAAGAAAACTGCCCCACACGTGATCAATCAGCTCAAACGCGGAAACTTTAGCTTCTTCTTCATCTTTTTTTCTTTGCTCGAGGAAATGCTTCTTAAAATTTTTCTGTTGTCTTGAGTTTTCGGTATGGAATATGCACCTCAGGATGTTTTTTCGCTAGTCCAGCGGGCTCTGGCCCAAGCCTTGCACCCACTCGAGAGGCGTTTGGCTTCTTTGGAATGCCACAATAGTCGATGCGGGTGTGAAACTTGGAGTACAACTCTAGGCAAGAGCATGACTCACGGATCGTGGATGGTACATGTACCCCGGAAACTGATCCACTCCTGATCCCATTTCCTTCACAATCGGCTGAGTCCTCTTTGGCGAGGTCTACTCTGCCCGCTCATGCTTCTAGAGCCAGTCTTGAGCATACGCGTGGCGGGTTCGTTGATGGCAACCTGGTAAATAATCCCACCCTAAAGCCACTTGCTGCTCGGTCGACCTCGAGAGAGCCACCTAGGCTACAACCTCTTCCCTCAAATCTGTGTGATCCTGAAGATCCAGCAGGTCTGGCACAATCAAGCCACCTGCCACTTGTACGACGCTATCTGGTTTGGAAACTGATGATTTGGACTTTCAGTCTGGTAGCACACATAGTCTGGAGTCCGACTGTGTGGGTCACAATACTGACTGGCCAGCGGATGACGGGATGAGGAGGAGAAAGGGTTTACCCGATATTTTTTGTACGAAACTGCCAAGTTTCCCAAGTCATGTCTTCCCTCAGAACTCCGACGCAAATCCAGGCAGGCATTTTCCCGCTGCTACCCTCGCCCGGACACTCCCGCTGCATTAGTCCTGGCTTTGGATGCGCAAGTCACCCGCATGGTATATTCTGCTGACAGGAAGCCACCTTGTTCAGAGGCTCGGCCGGATAGGCCTCAGTACCTGATGCAGCCAAAGTTGTTGAATGTGGTGGATCCCGTTGTGCTTCATTCTGGACATACAAGCAAAACCCTGACTTCGGTGAGCAAGGTCAGCAGATCCAGGGCCGGAGGAAGGAGTTTGGGAGTGGTCCAGCCAACCTTTGAGGGGGTCCGGGGGATGTCCCTGCGGTAGAAGTATTGAAAATTTACGTGGAATAGGGCGAATTTGGGCATCTAGTGAGGCTCCAGAAAACGCAGAAAATTATAGTAAAAGAACACAAAAACTACTTTTTTTTCCATAATATTAAGTTAAAGCCATACAGTGCCGATGATGGTAGCATACAAGAGATTGAATACTGTCTGTAAGGAATAGGTAAAAAAGCGATCTATAAAGATTTTAGTAACTATGATCTCGTGTCGACTTCTCCATGTATGCGATACGATCGACTCCCTCCATCGAAAGAGGAGTCTCTTTCGATCGAGACTCTTCTGTCTTGTGCGATGTTTTCGCTCGCTTCCAATATTGCCTAGTGTGTGCATTTCGATAGGAGTGACTGGTGGTACTTCTTTGGTGGAAGGTGAGCTCATGAGGTCGTGCTGCAGTCTGCTTGTCACGTAGTCCTGAGCTACTTCGAAACACATTACACGTCGGCAGTACAGTTGAGTCATGTACCTCTGGATTTTTTACACCGGTTTTGCACGAATCACATGGACCGTACAGGGAAAGTGGTCCATGGCCGGACCGGTTCCGCTGGCCCTGAGATCCAGGAGGCCGCTACGGCGGCACTGCGTCTCCCGGTAGATGCTAAACAGGCACTCACCATAAAACGAAGTTCCATCTGTTTATCTAAGATCCACCGCAAGCTCTCTATCCTAGCCCAAGCAGATCTTGCTAACCCTGGTTAGTCAATATTTGGCTCTGCCAAGAACGAGCAGATAACTAAGTGAGCGAAACCGGACAAGGCCTGGGCCGATGTACGTCATACGCTGCCTGCAAGTAATGGTCATGTGGCTGGAAAAGACAGACTGCCGCCAAGCTTCGAACAAGACCAGAGGAATATCAACGCCAAATGCTGCAAGCCTTCAGAGGCTTCCCCTGTGCCGTTTTTTGAGGGAGAGGAGCCCGCAGGAATGGGTGGACCTCCGCAAGCCATGTCCCTCATCGTCCACATTACTCCAAGAAGCCGCAGTGTCAACCCCGGTCACACCAACAGCCCGACAACAAGCAAAGCCCTCCGAAGCCAAACAGTGCCTAATACGTTTCCTTCTAGAGGTGTGCTTGCAGGCACTACCACCAGAACTGCAGTGTGGATGCACCCAGTTACCCAAGTGGGGTTTGGACTGGAGGGCGGCCGACTCGGAGGTCCAGGGACGTCCGAGCGGCCTAATTGGTGGTCAGACCAGACGCTGGCGTCAGCTGACCGAAGACTCAGAAGTCACGCAATATGTGGGAAGGTTTTGCCTGGAGTTCAGTCAGGAACCAGTCCAGTGGTGGAAGCCACTCCCCAGGATGATGTCCTAAGATTTGACAGCAGTGGTGACAGAGGAAGTGGAGGCACTGCAAGAGAACAATGCCCGGGAAAAGGTGCCCCTGGCAGACCTGGCTTTCTCAGCCCACTGTGTGTACCGAAAAATAACGGTAAGATGCGCCCAGTGGCCGACCTGCGGGAATTGAACCGGTTTGTGCAATACCACCATTTTATAATGGAAGGTATTGCCACCATGCGGGAGGCACTGATAAAGAACGATTTTATGGTGAAAGTGGACCTAATCAACGCATACATGTCAATGCCAGTGCATCAAACCCTCCGTCGCGTCCTTTAGGTGCTGTGGCAGAGTCGGTAGTACCGATTTGCGCCTTTCCTGTTTGGCCTGGTATCTGCTCCACGGCAACTCACCAAGCTCCTTTAACCGGTGATCACCTGTTTTCAACTACAGCGTGTACGTCTGGTCGTGTACCTGGACGATGTACTCATCATGGCTGGATCATTTCAAGAGGCGTTGCAGCATGCGGCCAATCTCATTCATCTGTTGCTGGCCCTGGGTTTCCAGGTAAACTTCAGCAAGTCAGAACCTCAGCTATTACAGGTGTTGGAATTTCTGGGATTCCAGATCAGTTCAATAGCCATGACGTTAGAACTACCTACGGACAAGGTCCATCGGACGTTGACAACTTGCCGGAGCTTAATTGCCCAGAGGCAGGGTACCGCTCGACGCCTTGCCAGCATCCTGGAGCTGATTTCCTCAGCAGCGCTCTCGATTCTTCCGGCTTTCCAAAGCAGCATTGGAGGATTTGTCTTGGTGGCTTCAGCACCTGGAGGGGTTCAACGGGTGCTCAATTCCTCTGCCAGTTCCAGACCTGGCCATTCAGACGGATGCAGCATCAACAGTCGGCTGGGGAGCAGTCTGTGGTCATCGCCATGCATCAGGACTTTGGACACTGGTGGAGAAGCACATTCATATCAACTGCTTGGAACTACGTGCAGCTTTCTGTGGTCTACAATCACTAGCAAAGGATCTTAGAACCCTCACCACAGCGGCAACTGCTCTGGCCGGTTGGCTGAAGTCTCGAGGCCTCATCTTGAACGCCGCCAAGAGCCAGGTTTTGACTATATCTCCCCAGCAGCATGTACAGGAACTAACAGTCAAAAGCGGCGATTATCTCCTCCCTTCAGCGTCTTCTGCGCGCTACCTCGACGTTCACCTTGACAATCGCCTAGATTGGGACACCCATGTTGGTGTGATATTGTATGTACTTCAGAGGACAGGGATCAATTGTATCACATTATTCATACAATTGGCACGCTCATTTAGCTAGCGCTAATATGTAGTCTGTAGCACTAATACGTGTATGTAGTCTGTACATAAGGCACTTTCCTTATGTACGTTGATTAATTCTTCCAAGTTGGTGGAACGTAACATGGCGCAGTGACCCGAACCAACGTGCTATTGCAGCAATGAACGCGGAAGGTGGAGAAGCAACCAAGATGGACGGCGACTTGGCCCACAGCGAAGGTGAACCAGTTTCAAGGCAGGACCACACCCTCGTCCGATTGGCGCAACTGATCGCTGATCAAGCACAGCAGGCTTCTGCCCGGGATGACCGAATGGTGGCGATGCTAGACGCTGCGCTGAGCCAGGGTGCAAGAGAACCCCAGAGGGCAAGTCAGCCCACAAAGCAGACCTCCATCAATGTTGAACGCCCAATTTTGGACGCTACCGCCACCTTGGCGGATTTCACGACGTGGAAAGAATCGTGGGAGGACTTTGTACGCTGCCAGCACCTCAGGTCCCAGGCCCGAGAAACCAGAGTGGCATCACTGAGACAGTCCTTAGATGAGGAACTCCGGCGGTACATCCGCCAAGACATAATCTGTATTTCCGAGGAGGACGATGATGGCACTATCATTGGGGCCATAGAGGGGTTTGTAAGACGTCGTCGCAACCCTTTACTGGACAGATTGGATTTCTACAATTTGAAACAAGACAATAATGAGTTGTTCGACTCCTTCCTGACGGTGTTGAAGGAGCTTAACAAGGCTTGTGACTTCACAGTTGGAGAGTTCTGCACTACTTGCACACGTAGCCTCCGTTGATGTGGCCAATGCTGGTCGAGCGTCCAGAGGAGAGGCCAGGAGACATTGCGCGGCAGGCTTGTGGTTGGCATTCGTGATGATGACACGAGGCATAGGCTTCTGTCCACCCCAGCCCTAACGCTGGAGGATGCCGTTCGGATATGCAGGGCTGAGGAAGCTGCCAAAGCCACCCAGCAAGATATGCCACAAGCGCAAGTCGGCCGTGCACTGGCATAGCGCA